CAATACTTAGTTTTCAGCATTGTATGGTAGATAATTCTCCCCATTTCATTCTATGCAGCAATGGTTATCTTGTGGTGTCCTCAACCACAAACATTTTCGAATTGAGTGTCTAGCCTCATTTCACCTATGCCAGTATCTTCCTAATGTTGCATTCGTTTTGGGTCTTTATGTAACGTCCCCTTCTCAGCTTTTACAATTAAAGTTATTTGCAAATATCTTCATTCATGGTGTCTCATTCATTGTGGAACCCAGTGGACATTTTCCCCTCCATTACATTTTCGTGCATATATGTATAAGACATAAACACATCTCCATCAATTCTCTGTATTTTCTACTGTCCTTGTTAGTACATTAGTTTTACTTATATGCTGTCTATTACTTGTTGGGTTTATTCAACATGTAAGTACCCATTGAGGTAATCATTTCTGCCACTTAATGCCTTGTGGTAATCATTTTCAACGAAATTTCGCAAGTAATTATTTTCCAGGATTTTGCTATATATTGTGAAGCAGTGACAAAGTTCGTGCGAATTTGTGTGCCACGTCAGATATTCTCTTATAATTTTATTCTTTGTGTCCATTATTTACTTCATGTGATTTGTTTGTTATAGGATCTGGAATCAAATTTGGTATTATTTATATATTGAAAATTGTGAAAGTTAAATGGGATTAATTAGATTTTGTGTGGCATCTGTTCTCTAGATCTCTTCGGTAGGAAGCTTACAGATTTTGTCACATGATTAGTCATTGTGTGAATATAAGCTTTTGTGAGTTAATGTGACCGACTCAAGTTGATAACGAGTGTTAGATGCAAGTATGATACCAATCGAAAACCATTGGGTGGATCTCTAATGCTTTATCCTTTTTGCTTTATCTGGTTTCTGTTTGTTTAATAGGTTTTTAATTTAATTGACATTGTGATAAGATGACAAATCTTTAATTGCTTCTTCTGTGGGAGATAAGAAACCTTTTCATGTAGATAACACTGAAGATTTGTCATTAATTTGAAGAAGTAGAAGAACTTGGAAAAATGATATGGTATGGATTTTCGTATCTTTTCAAAGTTTTGCAGTGTAATTAAGTTCCTTTGTATCTCAGTTTCTCTTTTTCGTTTGTTTAAAGGAAAAAAAAATATTTTCACTCATGATGAAAGAATGAGGAATATCGCTTTGTGATTCTACTCCTACAATTACCAAATAATACATTGTAAATTTATGTTATATTTCCCAAACATTCACTGCGTAGTTTATTTGCTTTTTTTGAATATTCATATGGGGGTGATGGTATCTATAGCTCCAGTAATTCAGTTATACATAAATTATTGGCAAAAGTCTGGTTTTTGGTTCCCTACAAAAGAAAATTTTGAAATATAGAGCCAAATTTCAGTTAACATTTATAATGTTAAGGTTTAAGACCATCTCTCTATGTAGTAAGATATCCATTGGTAAGTTAGTACGAGGGGTATAAACCTTAATGGAATCGTAGACCTTAATTTTCTATAAAATCATGTACCCTGATTGAATTTGTAGAAATCCCATGTCAATTTCAATTAAAACAGAGCACTTTTGGATAGTCATTAATTGAAGAAAGGCATTACTTTTGGAAGTTTTGTTTAATTTTATATATTTTGTTCTAACACTGCAAATTAGTAATCTGTCATTACACCTCTTCAGTTCGAACATTTTAATAGTGAAAATCTCATGTCACATAATTACTATTTAATTTTTTGTGAAAATGTTATTCACATAACAATTAAATTATGTGAAATTGAGAAATTTACTTTCTCCTTAAGTCAAACACCTTTTAATCACCATTTATGGTTTTGTAGACCTCATCGGTTGGACCACATTAAAATAGATAGATAATTAATGCTATAGTTCTATTGCATGTTCTTTCTTACATATCAGCTGCATTGCCAACTACAACTTAAACACAAAATACATCCCCAGCATGCACAACGGTCCTACCCAAAAAAAAAAAAAAAATTCTAGAATAGTGGATATATATATCCACTATACATATATCCATATGCATATATATATATCCATCACATGAATACAAAATCTGCAAGCCTTTTAATAAGCCCACTTTTTACTTCTGCTATTCACTATTAGAAGGCCCACTCTGAGCTTACGAGTCTCGTTGTGCTTCGTGCATTCGATTAGTGGAGAATAGCACCAACCCCATACGTGAAGGGTGCTAATGAAGTGGATATGTATACAATTTCTTCTGATCCCACAAAAACACAAGCAACATTAAGCCTGCTTTTATCACATAAACACACCACTCCCCCGTGTTGTTAGTTGTAGGTGCAGTAAAGTCCCCATCAAATTCTACTTGATCCTTCCCGACTAGAATGATTCAGTTCTCTACAACCCTTGTATTAAATATCATCACCATATCAGGTGTTGTTCTCTTGTGCAGTATCTACACCATGTCCCAAAAGGTTGGCCTCATTGCACCTCTTGCATTCCAGAGGACAATCGAATGGAGGATGGGTTCTGCGTCCATCACTGTCCTTTGCTTTTCTCCATTGTTGGTGGACCTTCCAACTAGGTTAAATTCCAAGTGGAAAACAACATCTGGATTTTCTCTATTTGTCATCCATGAATAGTTGATGACCTCCAATACAATATTACTTGGTATCCAAAATTGCTATACATAAATTTCCTTGGCACTGACGTCGACGACAAACGGAATCGGAGTCATTACAGTCGGTACCATGGCTGATTCGAAGCATGTCACTCCAAAATGGGTCCCCCATTTATGCTCGGTCGAGGTATGTCGTTAACTTTTTTAGGCGCTCCACCAGTTCCAACGATTCTTCCTCGACTGGCCTCCATGATCGGTACCCATAATGTCCAATTGCAGAGTCAACTAGTAAAGCAACCAACAATGTTCTTCTTCCCCAAACTCCAACCTCAACCCTAAGTAAAGGCCGGATAACATTATTTTTTGCCTCCAACCCCTCTGGTGATGCACTAGCTCCAGCATGTACCCTATGCTCCTCCTTTGGGATTAACCCGGCCTTTCTCAACCCCTGAACCTGCAACAACAATATTTTAATTGTCTTGATTGTTACTAACAATCACCCAAATAAGTTGGACTCGAACAACCTTTTTCCTGTCTTCAAACCTCAACTGGTGCTGCAATGGCGCTAGTTGAGGGTACCAAACTCTTTTTCTTTACTTAACCCTAAAATTATATTTTCAACATTATAACTATAATATCATTTCTTGTGATATGTCCACCCCACTATCCATTACATAACACCTTACTAGTATGGAGAAACCCATATATAGTTCTTTCATGGGTTGTGTGGCTCTTATTGGTTCGGTTGCCTCCTTCCATGCCCTTTCGAACCTCTTCGTTGTGAGATGCATAGTGCACATCTCTTCCAACAGTGCATCCTGCTTCGTCGGTGACATGATAGCCATGTTTAGGATTTGTGAAATCAAGCCCAGGTCCATTGTTCTCAATGGCTTTCTAACCTTTCTTTGAAATTTTGCCTTGTAGTTGAGGGGTTTATGGTATAGAGGTAAGAGGTTAGTAATAGCTGATCATAGGTACATGTTGCCTAATAAATAAGTTGTTTACCCTTTATTTATGTCCTTAATGACTTGGACGTCGCATTGAATGGCCACATCCATAAATTCACTTGATCGCCTCGACTTTTGGGTTATTTTGGTTTGTGGGACTCCTCTGTTTCTGGTTCTCCCTTCTACCATTGCATAAACAGTTTGATTCCCAACCTATAATTTCCTTTGTTGAACCCACAGTGCCAACTTTCTGTTGATTTCCAACCTTCTGTTGATTTCCAACCTTCTTTTTAGTGTACATGTGTTGCTTTCTTGTTATGTACATGTAACAAGGGCTCATCATCCCTTTTTGGCTAGTACTTATTACTCATATTTACACGACGTTAGCAATCATGGTTCTTATCTTTTTTCCATGTTTTTCTGTTGATAAAAGCAGAAGTTGCATTCAAGCCCCTCTACTGGCAATGTTTTGCCTTTTCCGTCCGTGCACTTAGATTTCAATAAAAAATTAACATTTATTTCTTGAAAATATTTATAAAATTATTTATATGATGTTAGGCAGCCATTTTACTTATTACATGTGTTAAACCAAAGCCAATTATTAATTTGTTTTTGTATATACTAACTATACAATATTTCTTTAGCATAAAAAATTTATTGGTTTAAAGATTTGAAAATATGGTTTAAAAATTGAGTGTGTTATTTTTACGCCATCGAGTGATGCCAACGAGAAAATTTTCTCTTATCAGCAATCCACTAATCTTATACGATAATAAAATTTCACCAATACCATGCTTAAGTATATTCAATCTGCTTACTTTATTGCTTAATGGTGTTTATGTGTGGCTTTTGTTGTTTTATAGATTTATTAGCACAATCTTTGTGTGTATTAAATAGTACATGTTGTATTTTTCTTGTAATTTACCAATTTTATTATATAGAAATTAGTTATCATGCATTAATTAATATAGATTATTTTAGCCTCAGTTGAGAATATAGACGTGCACTGGTAGGGGCACTCGCCTCTTCGACTCTTCGGCAAACACTTCCCCTTTCATTGGGCCATGTATGCTTCTTTCAGGCTTTGCAGTGCAACCTCTCACAACCCACACAAACGTGGCCCAATAAATCTTTAAGTGTTGGCCATAGAGGGCATAGCCAAGTGCCCTTAGCACTCCTTTTTACATGTATCTCAATTACATTACTTTGTTTAATATGATATAGCAACATACTTGAGTCTTTTAAATATTTTTATAATTAACCACTAATAATTACATTAATTAAACTCCGATTTCGAAAATACAATTTTGTTGTTCAAATCATAATTGTTTGATTACTATTAATATATTTTTCATTTATAATATTTTAAATACCTTGAAGGGCAAACAATGCTTTCCATTAGAAAAACCAATCAGACAGACTAACCGCCACCTCCACCCCAACAGCCTACAACTAGCAATGGAAGGGCTTAATCTTTGGCCAACATCATTCTTAGTTAAAAGGGCTGTTTTGCAGAAATCCTCAATGTTGACTGTCTCATTTCACATGGGAGCCAAGCATAGGGGCTGATCTTCCCTTGTCATGGATTATGTATTACGTACAACGTGTGAAATGAACCTCCTGCACCCTACATCAATCATCATTCTATACTCTTCACTACATTTTACAATTCCTATTCCTTCAATTCCAGAGTAACCATGTAGTATAAGGTTACAAATTGAAAACAATTTCTTTTAAATATAATGTTGTAGTAAGTGATTTGATTACTGTGTCGCAATTATCTTCTTATTCTTCTTCTTCCATTTATTTTCTCCTCATCATGCTAGTCTCTCAATAGCATTGTACTTGTCTGACTCCTTATAAACTTTTTTACTATGTGTAAATACATTTTTCTTTTTCACAGCCTTTGAATTCTAACTCCTTGTTATAGGCTTCTTAATCCTTCTGATTTGAGTATTGTACACTCCAACCAACTTAATGTCACATAACCCCACACAATGTCCTTCCTGCCCTCTTAATTGTCTTCACCGAGCTTTCCACTGCATTTAGTCCTCCTCAATTTAAAACATGTCTTTTCATTTATTACACTTGTCATTTCAAGAGGTCATATCTTCTTTTTATTAATCATCTTTTTTACTTATTTTATACTTAATACTTTGTCTTTATTATATTTGTAATTTATTAAATATTTATTTATTATAATTATATAAATGAACATGTGATTTTGTAAATGATATTGTTAACTATA